TTTTACAATATGTAGAGCTTGATTCTTGCTAAAAGACTATCTTGTAAATATGAATAGCTCACTCCTGATTTCGGCTTGTCTCGCTTCTTTGAGGTGATACCGATCCAGTCGAGCGGCTTGTTAAAATCAACCCTGGCCTCTTTGGCGATAGCTGCTAGAGAGTTTCGCAGGTATCTGGAAATCTGTCCTGATGGTTTTCGCACTTTATGACGCATTCAGACCTCTCAGTTAGGTTTCCTTATGAATCAGATATGAAGACAAATATAACAGACATGTAATCTGGCTCATCAGCGTATTTCAGACCATCGATGTACTGAACAATTCGTTTAAAATCTTCCGGAACGATCGAATAGCAGGAAGGGACTGCAGTATGAACAAGCATAAGACAATATCGTTGTTGTTCACAAGATTTACATACAGCTTCATCTTACGCACTTTCCAGTTTGAAGAATCTCTGCTTCATTGTAAGAATCTCATCACGTTCGCATCTTTTCCATGGCAGCCCTTTATCGTCGTCAAATAGGTCGTAGCACTGAAACTCGCCCACATAACGATCTGTAGGGAGTAGACAACAATGTAAAGACGATGCATTGAAGGACATCAGCTGAGTCTTTTATGATTCTGAAGACAAACTGTACACTCACTCTCGATACAATCTTTTCCATTTGGGAGGTGAATGTCTGCAACTGCACTAGCGCGCCACTTTCTCAAAGGTGTACGAGACAGGGCTGCAGGGTAGTGATACTTGCTGCTCCCAAGTCCTCCCGCACCCACTAAACTGTGCAGCACTTGCGTCGAAACCAATGTTCTGCAGCGGAACGCGCCCTCAGTGAACGACCAGAAGTGAGAAGTAAAGAAATAAAGCGTTGGTATATGGTTAGGCTTGTGGCGGCCGTGCGCCAGCGCCGACGGAGTATGGTAATAGCGCCAGGTATCACCTTCCTTCAACCTCGTTCCAGTGCAGTTTTGAGCGAGTAAAATGGCATACTGCAGCGGCGGTCCCATTCACCTCTCGTGAACGGAGGTGAGTCTACAATTCGTTTTTAAATTGCAGGTAACTGCTGGTTCAGGGATGCACGATACTCTAATTCGCTACGGACGGTTGGGCATGTCAGGCAGTATGAGTGTGTCACGCCGTCAAAGCAGTTCTCTGCCTTTTCGTTGAAAGGCGCATGCGAGCGCGCAAGTGGTAGAAAACGAGTAATACGAACATATGGTGCAGTCATATCACTTGCTCGCTTCAACATCTGGTGGAAAACGGGTTTAGCACCGCGCCAGACTCATCCCGCCTGTCACGCCCACGCGTTCACGGCAGTGGAAGACTACAGTAACAATTATGAGCTGTGGAGGAAGCCTAAGTGCGTTGCAAGGAATGTCACCAGCGCGCTGCTTACCAAAAATTAATTGAAATTTACATGAAATGTATCCTACTATATTATAATCCGCTAATGTTTGTCTGTTGGTGTGTGTGATTGTATGCTGGTGTTTTGACCGGAAATTCATAACTTCCTTCAAAAGAGTGATAGAGCGCTCAAACTGATAAGTCATGTAGGGGGTCGTGCAGGAACACTATTGGTGGGTGGCAGGAACTGATAAGAGCTGATAAGATACCGCGAGCAGCCTTATAAGGGGAGGATCACCACATTCATAGCGCGGGCCACAGCAACGATGAGACCTTGGTTCCAGGAAGTAAGGTAGGGGGCAGGATGGGAACATTATTGGTGGGTGGCAGGAATTGATAACAGCTGATAAGATACCATAAGGAGCCTCAGAAAGAGTGGGTTACCTAATCCATAACACCGGCCAGAGCAGCGACCGGACGTTGGATACAAGTAGTAAGATAGGGAGCAGGATGGGAACATTATTGGTGGGTGGCAGGAATTGATAACAGCTGATAAGATACCATAAGGAGCCTTAGAAGGGTAGAGACACCTAACTCACAACGTCGACCAGCACAACGGGACGTCGGTTCCAAGAGGCAAGATAGTGTGCAGAATGGAACCATTATTGGTTTGTGGCAGGATATGATAAGAGCTGATAAGATACCCCGAAAATTCACAGCAGAGTGTTGCAACACTGTGGAACTGCTCCAGCAAGTAGTTCAGGGGTGCTCAGGAACATTAAAGGTGGGAGATAAATTCTGTCAGTGTCCGACAACGGCTTTTGGGACTCCGTATGTGCTCACATCATCCTGGCCAAATTTTCTATTCCTAGCAATATCCCTCAGTTTAGCGGTCGGAATTGCTTCCACCGCTAAACGCTCGAGTTTCACCGGAAGGGAAATTGTTGGCAGTGAGGAATGATAAGAGCCACTATGATTTCGACTTTTTTATTATCGAGATTCTTCCCACCGCTATGCTGTCCTATCCCCAACGAATGGTGCTTTTAGAAATATGATAGGCACCAAACAGTCCAAAACACTGGCAAATGTTCATTAAAATGGGGAAACATGATGAAATTGGTCGTCCTCGAAACATGAAAACATGGAATTAGGCTAAGTGTTAGTGCTCAGGACAAATCCTGTCAGTTATCGTAGTACCATGGGTTTAACCATGCGCGCAGTAAGTGCGGGCGTAGACTGGTTGTTTTGTATGTCGAGTAACTGAATACGAAATAGCAACGCGCGTGTAGCCGCAACGTGGTCCTTCGTGCTACACCCACTTTGAGCCGCACCAGTCACATCGCCTAGGTGTCGCGGAGCTCTTCCTTTGGGACGTGTCCCGAATTCGTCGCATTCTACTCCTTATCCCCTTACTCTCACCATTCGGAATGGAGAGAGTCAGAAGCCGCACCACCAGGAAGCCTTAAAGACAGTTTTCACGATATTTTGTTAATTGGCTTAAAATGCTAGCAGGGCACCATATAGTGGGGAAAATGGCGAAAAAACGAAGTGCTACGGTCAAATGTGAAGAAACAGGACTTTTGTCCGGCTAAATGACAATTTTGGGGCGAGTTTTGCTCTAAGCATCTGCGCCATATAACCGCTACTGTGGGTACGACTGCCTCTATGTTTTTCGCATATATCCAATGCAACCGCCGTCGCTTCATACCAGTCTCTTTCGCTTCATATTTTACTTTGCAAATAAAGCAATACGAGCGTCAGGTACGGTCGTCCACTTGTGGGCGGGCGGGCGTGGTGGGCGCTCGGGTTGTAATGTTGTAGCTCTATAGGGCCCTTCTAAGGGTGCCTCCCTCAGAAAAAGGCACGACGCAGCCTCCGCTTAGGGTCGCGGAATCCTATGCTGCCAGGCGGTATTAGTCCTGCTCTTCTTATAGTTAGAGATTTATTGTGTTAACTGCCTTTAACGAATGAAAATGGGCGTTGCGGTGGCTAGTGTGGGGACGGGGTCCTCGTAGCGAGGGGAGCGAGTTTACTAACGTACTTTGAGCTGCGAGAGTAGTACATTCTCCATGCTTGCGGACAGGACTACCTTGTCCAATCAGGGTGTATGGTCTGAATACGAGAAGTACGCGGAGCGTGCCTTCCAACACCACATTTTCTTTGTCTATGAAGTGATGGCCTCAGCTTTGAGGAGGAAACTCAGCATGTTTTGTGGGTCCCTTCTAGTACAATGATGGTAGTACTGCTCGCTGGTTGTAATGCTGGTGGTGAGCAAAATACTAAGTCATTCAAAACTGCTAGAATTAATCCTTAGAAAGTTTTTTAATCCAAACCATGTACAGCCAACATTCGAGATCGTCTTTACGTCCTTGCTCAATTTGCTTATGACATGCTCGCGATGCGAATCTCAGCGTACCGAGGAAATGCACTTTGATACGTGGTAATCTGAACAAGAATCGAACGTCTTCGAGGAATCGGATCGGCATTACTCACGGACTGCAGAACATACTTCACTACTTTAGTTTCTCCTTCGGTGAACTTTCTTGCAATGCCGAAATCAAGCATGTAAATTGTTGTCTCCTTCGGACCAAGTCCGATAGCATAGTTTTGAGGTTTTATATCGCTGTAACAAGGTGTAGCCTTTTTGTCTTCGGTGGCAGACGCAAATAGTAATCAAATCTATACAGCACTATTCTTAGTACCTGTTCAACAGCAGCCTATTCCTGCGCGCTACGCACTGTCCAACGACACAATTTGGATGTCATACGAAAGGTGCCGCGTCGCCGGTGGCAACTTATACGTTCATTTAATAAATTATAATATCAGGAAGTCAAGACGTATACAGTACCTCCAATATTGCGCGTGAAAACAGTTGTGTTGGTCGTGGGTGAACACAACGGGCCGCGGGACCACATGGCCGATCCAAATTCATTGTGTGGATTGGAGTAAACTGGTCGCGCGCCTAGGCACCTGCTGGGGTCAGGCGGGCCGCTGGTAGGGTGGCAATCCCACCCCGGAGCACTCGATTACGATTTCGCCTCTTTCCAGCGACTTAATATGACACCGCTGGGCAATCCCCAACGTACCCCGTGCCCTGTCCACGCGTCACTTTATCGCAGGAACTTCTCGAAAACGTTGCGGGGCTCTAAACGCTTGTAATCCCTTTCCTAACTTTCGTCTTAGAACGTCTGCAGCTGTGGGAAGGTTGATCACTATCTCTCAGTTTCGTCCAATTCAGCTGTGGGAACGTTGATGACTAGAGTTCCCTGTAAACCACTGTTACAGCTATCATCTCTTGAACTCGCTGATTAAACTTCCTAGTGGACTTGCTGTGGGGCCCCCCTTGCTGGCTGCCTTATACGCGGGCTTGTTTAGGACAAGCAAGCAACGCACGCGAAGATGCAGAGTAACAAGCTGTTGAGTTGACATGCTGCAGTATCGCCATGTTGAATCAGTTGGGTCGTGGTGCAAGTGCCGCGCTTGCGGCACCACTGCAAACCTCTTTCGCCGAGACTCGAATGATTTAATTTGCACCACTTCACCGCGGGCTACGTAGGCTGACTCATCTACCCAGGAACTGCGCCTTTAGCAAACGATGGTGGAAGTTATACGATCTTCATCCGCTTCCTTCATTGCTATCTGTTCATACAGATAAGAGACACTATTTCGCTAGATAACGGAGAAAGCCGTACCGATGTAAATAGCCGATACCGTGCAAATCACGTAGAGCCGTCATGGTCTGAATACAGCACTGCATAGCCGTCGCTTTGGAGAAGTTTCTCACCAAATCCTTCTTTCGTATATCCTCCAATGAAGGTCCCACCAAACCCATCACCAGAAACTGAAATCGAGGTTACAGGACTGAAGTGCAAGCGGTTTCAATTTCAGATGCTTTGCCTTGAATTTATTCGTTTTTCCTCTATCAACAAATGCGACGAAATGTCCTTTTCGATCCGGATCCGACTGCTCGTGGCATTTCATCAGCACCACCACTTCTATCTTTAATCTCAACATTTGCCGATTACCGATCACCATTTCGGTTTTCATAGCGGATTCCTGCAAACAACATTTTCAGGCCGACTTGCTGAAACCACCTATTCGAACGGTAAGGTTGACCGTTTTGTCTGGATTGTTCACTTTTTGAACCTTGTAGACGTCACCAAAACCTCCTGATCCAAGTAATTTGACCACACGCCATCTGAAATTTTCTTCGTATTGGCATATGTACAGTCTGGTTCGCTGCAGACAGTGGGCCCTTGGGTAGTGTCAAATGGGTTGGGTATGGCCCAGCTCCAACTCGTCCTCCACCAACTGTGAAAGGTGGCAGGTGACATGATTGGTGGAAATACGCAAGGACTCCAACACTCGCTACCAACCACAAGATCTCACAAAAGTTCTTTCGCTGTGTACAAGGAAAAGAAAACTCAGTCACGGTCATTCGGTATGACTTGTCAGACGGGTCCAACTCATGAGGCATCCTTCACAAAAAATTTTTCCGATAACCGAGATTGCGGAGAAGCATGGCAGTTGTCAGTCAGGTGGAGCCTAGAGAGGTTGCCAACTTACTGGTGGTTACCTTCGGCTGCGCCTCAAGAAGCTTGAGTAAAGGGCCGTCATTCTGTGCTGGTGGGCGACCTATACATTGCCTAACTACGAGTTAAATAAGTCCAGCCTGGAAGCGCTGATGCAAAAGCTACCCTCTGCCATGGCAAGCGATATCCTTCCTCAAGACAACGTAAGTGTTAGCTTCCTCGACTACGGCGGAGTGGCCCTACAGGAACTCATAATATGGGATAGGTCGAAAAGTACCTCGATCTCTGAGGGACTTTTAAGCTTTGAAAACTTCCACAAAGTCATGAC